ACCCGCCCGTTTGCCACCCCTATAGGAGATAGAAGATAGCCCTGGTTTTTGCTCTTTTTGATATCTGTATATATGGCCTTAGCACAGCCTTTGTGCTAAAATTATTTACTCCCTCTGTTTCAAAAGATTGTCACTATTTCCTTATTAGTCTATTTCAAAAAAAAATTGGCATCTTTTAATATTTCCTTAATAGGAAGCATTTATAGCCACACAAAGCCTATGGTTTATTTAAGACCACATATGTATCTCAAAAGTCTTCACTTCTTTATTAAAGCTTGTGTCAAGTCAAACTAAGACAATTTTTTTTAAACGGAGGGAGTAATATGCTACCATTCTCAAAAAAAAGATATCAATGAAACTATATCGAAAGCCGATGAAATTCAAAGAGAATAATTGAAAGGTCAGTTGGGAAGGTTACTCGTGGCACAAGAAGGGATTCAGAGACAAAATACAAGCACCTGGCTAAGAAAGGATATAATAACGGCTAATATTTACAGGAGATAATACATAAAAAAGAATCAATGGATGACCAAGAACTTCCAGAGCAAAGTGGATTAGACTATCAGAGAAGACAGTAACCCACTACTACCAGAAGTTGTACTCTAAGATGGAGAATTGAAGACCACTATTAAGCAGAACTCCATTTTCAGAGAATCAAAGATGAGAGGGAAATATGAAGAGCAATGGCATTATATTGCAGAGCAACTTCACAGCTTTGGGCAGTGGTATCCTCATTTGACACCTATTAGGTATTTTCAAAGAGAATGCTAGAGAGTATAGTAAGCTAGAAGTAAGGAACCTTGGGATCAAGATGAAAGTAGCATGGAAAGCTAGTCACCTTCTTTGAAGGAATGGAAAGGAAAGACCAAGAGGATGCTTCAAGGTAGGAAGAGGAGCTTAAGAGTTGGTAGGAGACCAAGGGCAGCATATATACAACAACAACAACAACGACCCAGTAAAATCCCACAAGTGGGGTCTGGGGAGGGTAGTATGTACGCAGACCTTTCCCCTACCCCAAAGGAGTAGAGAGGCTGTTTCCGGAAGACCCTCGGCTCAAGATAATAAGAAAAACAAAAAGGAGAGAATATTAGTTTCACCACAAAGATTATAGGAAAAATAGGAGCATAAAATGCAGAAGGAAAAATGCAAAACAAAAATGATGGCTAGTAAATAGGTCCTGCACCGAAAAGAGAAAATAGTAAGACACTGCAACGCCCCTAGCTATTTCAGACAAAAACCCTACCAGACTAGGCTCACAACAGTACAAGGTAACGCAAGACTCAGCTACCTCCTAGCCTACAACCGTAATACTCGACCTCCATAACTTCCTATCAAGTGTCATGTCCTCAGAAATATGAAGCCTCGCCATATCCTGCCTGATCACTTCTCCCCAATACTTCTTAGGCCGCCCTCTACCTCTTCTCGTGCCCTCCACAACCAGTCGCTCACACCTCCTTACTGGAGCATTTGGGCTTCTCCTCTGTACATGTCCGAACCATCTGAGCCTCGCTTCCTGCATATGCACCTTCTCCCGAATATCATCATTTCTAATCTTGTCCATCCTAGTGTGCCCGAACATCCACCTCAACATACTCATTTCTGCTACTTTCATCTTTTGGATATGTGAGTTCTTAACAGGCCAACACTCAGCCCCATACATCATCGCTGGTCTAACCACCGCTTTATAGAACTTACCTTTGAGTATCGTTGGCACTCTCTTGTCACACAAACGGATGTAAATATTTTTTATTACCATCTAAAGCGAATTACTTGAAATGATATTTTAGTTATCAAAAATAGAAGAACAAAAAATAACTGTAAGCTTTCTGAAAAGATACACCGCATTTTCTATTTTGTCATGCACAGCTAATGTTAGTACTATTTCTACGTCATTAGCCAGAAATGCTTTGAAAACTAGATCCCACATGCATTCCAACTTTATGGTATTTTGAGTCATGCATTCCAACTTTATGGTGTTGTTAGAGTATTCTCTTTCCTGCCTCAGAGAATAGGTCAGGTGATAGAGTCCAGCTTTTCAAGATTTGATGCTGACCAACATGCAGAAATTCCTCCAACGACTTGGAGATTCATATTTCACTTCAGGTCTACGAATGGAGAAGACAAACAAGAAGGACAACAACTAGGAGAAGAGGTATCAGATCTTAAAGAAAGAGCTCCCCTTATAAACTTGAATTTTGTGTTAGTGTAGCGGATGAAAGTTGCATACTGTGGTCTTTCAACTCATATTTTCCCCAAAAGAAACAAAAAAATGAAAAAGAAGTGACCACCCCAATATGGACCATTGAGCACTCAGAATGGTGAAAGAAGCGTAGAAATACTCTTCCAAACATCATTCTGAAGTCAGAAATACAGTTCTATTGTCTCAACTTTTAACCACAAAAACAGATATATCACATGGCATTGGAGGGATTTAGTACAACAACTATGCCTTAGTCCCAAACAAGTTGGGGTGATGGGTCAGCTATATGAATCATCACTTCGTGATTTAAGCTCAACTCATATCATCATACCAAATTTGCAGTAAAGCAACAAATGACACCTAATTTTTACTGGAAAAAGGAACACAGACCTCTTTGGAAACTTGTTCTGCCTCCTTTGAAGATCTCGCATAATTCACTAGGACCTGAAAACAAAATATCAAGTGGGTTGAAAGAGTGCGCAAGAGACTTTTCCCAAATTACTCCCAATTTGAAGGCCAAAGGGTCAAGAATTATCTAACAATAACAATAAGACAGTAAGCCAAAACCTCATAAGGCGATTAACTAGATAAATCCAAAACTATGTGAAAAATAATATTGCAGTAGTAATGGAACATGATGGACGAATGAACAAAAAATGACCTTGCAACCAGCCTTTCCCAAAGCCAAAGCAACGGCCTTCCCGATTCCTCTAGAAGCTCCGGTAACAACAACGACGGGAGCTTCCAGTTTTGCGGCACCATCAACTCCAGCTTGCTCGGTAGCCGCCATTTCAGCTCTTACACCTGATTATAATATCACGATCGCATTATCCATCAACACACATTAAAACACGTAAAATGAGGCAGAAATATGTGAAGTGATGTACCTAAAAAAGCGGGAGAAGAGGAAGAGGACCATCGGTATTGCAAGGGAGCGGATAGGGAAGGGGAAAGGCGGATATGCGAGAGTTGGCGGCGGACGGAGGAGCATGCAGCGGCGGACGGAGGGAATTTGGCGGTGGTGGTGGCGACGGAATTGAAGGCGAGAGAAGCCATCGAACGGAGAAAAGTCACCAGGTAGGAATGAAAGGGAGATGAGATCAATGGATTTCCTTTAATTGCAATGCTCCGATGAAATCGAGGCAGAATTAAGGGAAGAGCCTCTGTTTCCAACTATGCTAATTTTGGGATTTTGTTATAATTGGATCTTCTAAATAATTAAGTTAAATATGCATTATGTCTAAATCGGGGTGTGATGTTAAACCTGAATACAGAATAATAAAAACAGAGGATATATGTGACCCACACCCAGCTAATATGGAATTGAGACGTACTTAATTAGTATTGGTTGATTGTTAATGCTTGCAGTTCCAGCAAATTAGGTGTGTCATTAGTGAAAAATTGAAAATGCACTCTACTATTGCTAGTCAAATATTTAGAGGAACCACCACCAAAGATGTGGTGAATGGATAGGACTGTTCTCTCTCTTAACCAAAGGTTTCGAGTTCGAGCTCTGGGTATGAAAAAATCTTTGGTAGGGAGCGTTTCCCCCCGAATGGGACCCTACGCGACACGAATTCAGATATAGTCGGGTTCCAATGCAGGTACTGAACACCGAATGTGAAATCAAAAAAATATATTTAGAGGAGGATATTCGATTATTTATCTCCTTAAATTCAAGGGTGTCTTAGTTTTATTGGTGTTAGCTTCAACTCTTGAATGCTTTCAATTTTCCAATGACATTCGCCATAAAAGACAGTAAATGAAGAATAAATACTTGTTGATCTAAAAAGATAAAGAGTGATTTACTTTGGTTTACTTTTTTGGTACATTCAAAGGAACTAAAAAGACTTAATTTCCATTTGACACCACCGAAGATGTGGTGCAGTGGATGTGACTGTTCTTCCCTTAACCAAAGGTCTCAGGTTCAAGCCCTGAGTATAGAAAAATCCTTGGTAGGAAGCGTTTCTCCCCGAATGGGGCCCTATGCGGCGATCCGAATATAGTCGGGCTCCAATGCAGATATCGGACACCGGGTGGGAAACCAAAAAAAGAAATCCATTTGACACCATCTCTGAATTTACTAGATCCAAAATGACTTACAAATTTATATTTTTAGGGGTCGTTTGGTTGCCGGTTAGAGGGATTATTTTTTTTAGTTTGTTATATTAGAAATTGATATACGCTACATAAATTTTAAAGTAAAATACTTATTTACTGATTTTGTCTCTAACAGATTGAAAAGAGGAAGAGCCTAGTAGCAGCGGCCAGCGAGGCATCATTATCTCCATGCTTGTTCTCCAAAGAGTTTGATACAAATCAATCTATAGAAGGAAGCTTTTTATGCGTAAAATGATAGGGGTAAATTTGTTATTTCAATATTTTATTCATATATATCCCGCAAAAAATAATACACAGATTGACTCATAACTTATACATGTATTATTTATGTAGAATTATAAAATGACAACCAAACACAGTATTAGTTATGCTGAATTTTGTACAAAATAACTAATGGCTATCAAACATTGCCTAAGTTATATTGCCCCCAATACATGGATATATATATATATATATATATCAGTNCACAGAAGCCATGCTTACACATCAATTCTTCTCCTTATTCCACACAAACGGAAACTGCAGGTAAGCATTAGTTATTTTAGCTATAATATCAACACATGTTACTGGCTTCAACTGTAGCTCAAACCTGTGAAAATTACCACACAGCTACATGATAGCTTGCAAGATAACTTTCAGGAACTAGAAAAATAACTCTCAGCAAGACCCAACAAGGCTGTAACTGAACACAATATTGTTTGCTTTTCTATTGATGGCAACAAGTACATTCTTGAAGATTACAACAAATTTCACAGCCCCGTTTTTCAGTAAGAATGAGTAAGCCCACTTATTGCCTTCGTCTTGATAATGTCCCTAGCTCTGTACAAGCTACCAATACAGTGTTGCTGCTATTAGTCTCTTATCTATGACTTATCTTCAAACATTCCTTCATCTGATAGCCGAGATTCAGTCCCATTGACGTAAGGTTGGTTGGATACATTCGCACTTGGGTCGCCAAGGATGCTGTAATCAAAGTCTTCTTCATCATCATCGTCATCATCAGTACCAACTTCATCGCTGTCAGAATCCTCATCATACAATTCCCGCACTATTCCTTGGGCCTCCATCTGCATCCGCTCCTTGACAGCATCTTCATATGCCATTTCATACCAAACAGTACCTTTACCAACAATAGATTTATTGTGAGCATCCGTCATTCGCTCCTGCTTGCTCTTCTCTGAGTTCTTTGGCTCACCCCAGTAGTCATATCTATACAAGGGACTGTCAGGATCATACTGATCCTTTCCAAAAGCACTTGGATCCACATACCTACCGGGCTCTTCCAGTGGAAGCCCCAGTGCTCGCCGACTGCAAGAGCATCAAGCAAGTACACAATCAAAAACTAAGTTTAGAGATTGAATTTTCACATCAGAGAGACAAAGTTGGATCTCTTTAAATGTTACTAACATAGATGAGAAAAAAAAAACAGCTCGGAGAAACACAACCATTGTTTTAAAGCAGATGAGAAGACAAAAGAGACATGTCGGTCAGAGTCCATATAATCTATAATGCTACGGCCCTCATGTGTAAACATTTAATACATCAAGGACATAAATGGCTACAAAGCTATCTACCCAATCACTGATCAAACAGAAAAGGCGAACCATTCTATGACTCAATTAACATGAAATTTATCTGTGCCACTTGGGTGCAGATGAGATACTAGTAAAATAAGAAACAGCAAAAGAGCTGTAAGACATAATAGGTAACATTGACATCAATGGCAGTAGATCAGGTAGTCAAATATTCTCATTTAAAGAGAACGTCAAGTTAACACTAAATGCTTTCAACTCTTTGACTAGACATCAATTTTATTTTTAATATACACGTCATTCTTGTAAATTACTTCTATTCTGTCTTCTATTTTCTCTAGGTAGGTTATGTCTGGGACTTTGCTGGTAGCTTATTATTATCCCTTCAAATACTCTTACCACGATAACATCAAAAACAGACTATAAGCAATTGCATTTTAGAAAATTGTACAACGTCTTGTGATAACAATCCAGTGAACAAAGGAAAAAAGATAGAACTTTAGTCATCCAATCCCTGGTTATTGCAGACTCCGTTAATGAGTCACATGTCCTTATAAGACCATTCTGACTTTTATGTGTTGACAGTCATTCTTTTGTGTATAGGCTGACCACCGTGTCCATACTTCGTTAGCAGCCTTTTAAAAGGTAGGTAAAACATGACAGTATAATGTGACTCGTGCACTGCATACACCATGACATGTTAACTCACTGACCAACTACACCGCAATCACAAACTAGTTGAGGTCAGTTGTACGGACCAAAATATCTTGTTTGTCTTTTAAGACAAACTAAAGGGAGCAAAACTTTTAGTAACTAACTACTGGAGTATTGGATATTCATAAACGAATCTGAAGAATTCTTGAGATAACTAAAGCATCAATTATCACTCAGTCTCCAATCTTATATCCAGATCCAACCGCTGCACCTTTAGTGATGCTGCTAAGCTCTGTAAATTAACGCGATACAGATAAAACCCCACAAGTTAGACATGATGAGGCAATTCAGGTTTGAACAAAAACCAACCGAGAAGGTAAACAAATCTTTCAGTAGAGAAATTAGTACTCCCTCCATTTCAATTTAAATGACACACTTTCCTTATTAGTCCGTTCCAAAAAGAATGATACATTTCTATATTTAGAAACAATTTAACTTTAAACTTTTCATTTTACTCACTTTACCCTTAATGAGAAGCTTTTATGGCCACAAATGTCATGGCCCCACAAAGCCTTTACCCCTTAAGCTTTTAGGACCACATATTTCAAAAGTCTTTTTTTTCTTCTTAAACTTTGTGCCAAGTCAAACTACATCATTTAAAGTGAAACGGAGGGAGTATTATATATGAATGTCAATTGCATAATAAAACTGTGAAGAAAATGGAGCTTGGGCCTAACTCAACCTCAACAGCTAGATCATGAGGTGAGGATTGCCCAAGATTATATAAGGAGAGAACAATCCATCCCTCAACCAATGTGGGACACTTATCACCCCCTTGCACGCCAAGACTGGACATTTGGGGCATAGACAATGTAACATGGGGGTCCACAATTGGGTAAACCAAGAGTTGGGATGGGTCTTGGCTCCAATACTGTGTGAAGAAAATGGACCTTGGGCCTAACTCAATCCCAAATTCTAGCTCATGAGCTGAGGATTGCCACAAACAGCCCATCCCTCAACCAACGCGAGACACTTAACAAAAACAAATTATTCTCTTCATTCCTGGGGGTTAGGGTTGTGGGGAAAGGTTTTCCTGGCACTGTTAAGTTAGGGGAGAAAGGCCAGTGGGAATACCAGCTTATATCTCTTAACAGAGCCTCTCTTTCTTCAAGGGACCGACGCCAATGGATAAAGTCATATTCATCCATTTCAATGTTTCGTCTCAGCTTGGGAATTTTGTACACCTCTCCTCGTTCTTGTGCTTCCATTCTTAGTTTATTATGGTGCTGCATTACAATAACAAAAGCCACACAAAGAGGACATATCTTGTCATTAGATGCCTTTAAGAAGAAATTTTTTAGATACAAAAAACCTTTTATATGAACAAAGGAAACGATAAGCAGAATTTTTCTCATGTATATCTGTTGCTCCACCTCATCTCTGTAAAGAAAATTTTCTTTAATAACTTAACAACAAATGCAGGCTCTTTTTAAATTGAAACTTTTAGCAGGACCAAGTCATCGTGTATCCTTAATATGATCAGATTATCATTTTTTGTCTATACTTATCCCCAAGATATATAAACCATTGTTGAACTCTACATTACTAAAAGCTGATTATTCATTGTAATGAATTAGACAATTCAGTCTACCCTGCTTGTACACCGCAGATGTTTACTTTAAATATGACATGTAATATACCAGTAACGAATATTCCTACTCTCCACAAAAGTTCTCTTCCCAAGGTCAGACATTAGATTGAGATTCTTTAAATTTTCTTTAACATGTTCTCAAAAGGTTCAAAATTGTAGCATGTATTATGTAGTTTCTCTCTTTTTCTTTCTTTAAACAAGTGTATCATGTAACTTCTAAGTCTCTAATTTTATTGTCAAAGGCTAGATTCATAAGCACCTGATTTCAATCTCAAATCGACTAATTCATCCCTACACGTAATAACAGTGGTATCACTAGTCACAACAAAGTAATTAATATTATCTCAAACCTGACGCTCAGCAAATGCAGCTTCCAAGTCAAGCTCTTTTACACTGACTTTCTGCAGAAGTTACAATCTTGTCAGATAGATGCATGACACAACAGAAAAATGACTTGATAAGCTGCTCACCGTAATCATTTTAGGAAGCAACGCTTTCTTATAATAAGCTTTGGAGTATTCAATGCAATTTTCTTCATCAAAATCTTCATCATCAGTTAACTCTGTCAAGTTTTTGCCTTTATATTTAGCAGGATTTGCCTCCATGTCATCCAGAATCATTTGTTCAGCATTATGGATCTGCCATAACTGCAGAATAAGATATAAATGTTAATCAGGACTTGTTAGCTGAGATGGTCTAAGGTGCTCCAATACGCATGTTGCTAAGAGATAAATTTTGGGGTCAGCAGTTTAAAAATATGAAGACATGGATCAATTACTTCAGTAAAGGGGGTTAACATTGATCAGTTTGATCCATTTTTAAGCACATTCATACAACACATAGCAACTTCAAAGGAGATTTTAATCAACAACATAGTTAAAGTTGTCAAAAGAAGCTTAAGCAGAATTTTATGGCTATTATAGTTATATAGACATATTGCAATGGCTACTTCAACGTAACTAGTTTGAAGAGCTCATGCAGAACTAAGCTCCAGCTTTCAAAGCTGTATAAATGCTTCAACAAAGAGGCATACCTTGTCCACGTAGGGGTGATTTGATAATATTGGTTCTTCTTCGACTTGGACTCCAGGGTCTTTTCTAGGAAGAGGTTGTCTTCCACAGTCACGCTATGAAGTGAAATGAGACAGACAGAAAAATCATAAAATAGAAGATAAAGTGAATCCAACATCCTACGAAATATGAACCAAATCATGCATCATATAATAGGACCATTAATAGGAAATACAAAAGCCGGCCAAAAATAAAATGGTCCTTACGCGCAATTCATCTAGATTTGTATCCTCATCGCGGTGAAATATAGGCGCAAAATCAAATCTATTAAAGCTGCAATCATAACTCTCTCTGTTAGTGTCAGAATATATGACCCAAAACAGCATCTATGTGTTTCTGGAAGCATATTATGAACAATGACTAAATTTGGGAAATGAATGTCTTAGAAAGATCATAAATGCACTTAAAACCCAGAAAATTAAGATTTGCAAATCTACATACATTAGGTGATCTATGTTAGGATCAATAAAGCGCATCTCAATAGGGAACCGAAACCTGTAAGGATCACGTTTAGCCTGAAAAGGAACAAAAAAAATATTAAGGCATCAATCCACCGTAATTGAGATTGTCTCAAGCATCTTAAATATGAAAATAGTTGTGAACCAGAAAGGAGAAGTGAAACTACAAGATATACATAAGTAAGTTTATACATGAGCATACAAGATCAGATGTCCTGCCTTTGTACTTTATAACAGAATCCAGAAAATTATCTCAATTTCACAAAGATGGTTAAAAGAAAGAAGGTAAGAATAAGCGCAAATGAACCAAAAAACTGATTGGGCTACCTGCTTTTTTCCGAGACAGCCAAATTAAGAGCAGCTATATGTTTTGTAACCTAAACTCATACACATGCCTAATATAATTGTGTATATTGAATGACATCCCAGAAATAAGGCTCCTACTGGCCCCAACATCTAGCAGATTTTCTCAATAATGCATGGCAATCAATGTATCGATTCCTATAACCTCTGAATACATATGAAGATAGGCTAAATCTGCAATCTGGTGTTTAACTAATACACTTAATTCCAAGTTCAGTGAGAAGCCAAAAACTAACAAGATAACTGATGATAAGTGCATAATGGAGCATGATTCTCAGCAGAATAGTGCAATATACTCCGTAGCCCAAGTGACTTGCTAGTCAAATGATATGATATTGACTAGAAACTCGGATGTTGTTCTTGATGTACAGAAATTCCGATTATATTAAGCATCACTCACCAGAATTTCAACTATGACGTGCATACCAACTTTTATGTGATGGCGGATCCAATACCAGTCATTTCGCTTTATTGGCACCCACCTGAAATGCATTGACGAAGAAATCATCAAACACAATAATCTGAAGTTCTCATCTATACGTCCGGAATTTGGTTATACGGGTCATATGAACAAGCTTACCCATCATGAACACCTCCAATGTCAACAAATGCTCCTTGATAAAGATGTATAGCTGTCACCTTACCTGCACAAATCTGAAAAAAGACTTCCTATAAGCTTGCCTTTCGTTAAAACTCATGTGTCGCAATGATTAATAAATTGATATAATTTCCAATTGAATTGAGCAATGCAAGACATATTACAAAAAGTAGCTTTATGTCCTTTCAATCTGAAATGGATAACACTAAACCTCGATGAGGTTTTAGTTTTGTGTTAATTTTACAGTTTCCTAGATTTGGTGTGAGACATAAATTTACAGTTTACATATTACAAAGACATTGAACATGCATGTCAAATTGCTCTAGTAATTAAAACTAGAGAGAAAATGAATGTGCACCTCTAGATAACAAAAGATCGTATCAAACTTTGACAAAAAGGGTTAGCATGGGATACCGGCAAAAAAAATGTGGCTAAAGTAAAATTAGAATATAAGGTTCTATCATTTCTCTTCAAAAGTGCATACATGTTTATTTCTACCGCCAAACTGTAGGAGAAACTACTCAAAGATATAGTGATAGAAACTACAGGGAGAAACATAAAAGAACCAAAAGACAAAAGAGAAAAAAGGTGGAACTACAGACTACAATAACATTAAGCTCGTTCGGTTGAATAAAAATATACAAGAATCAAATTATCCTGCTCAGACAATTTTTTTATCAGGATTATCCCGCTCAGACTTTTAAAAGTAAAATATGGCTAAAGCACTTCGTAATCTCTTCAATAACTGCACAACTTTTCATATTCATCCATCAAGATGTATGAAAACAGAGTTCCTAATAGTCAAAAGTAAGATTCACGATATTATCATCAGAGAAAGGGAAAAGAAAGCAACTTACTTGTCCTGGGTAGTAAAACGGGAGTTCATACTGCAACCAAATGAATAGGGGAAAAGTTATGACAAAAACATCCATCACTAACCCTAAATAAAGAGCAAAAATATTCAACAGCAACAGGAAATGCAACACTATCATACCATTCCATCTTGGTAATCCTTTCCCCTTTTTCTCCTCCCAGGATAATAATCCTGGTCATACTGCACAGACATCACAAATTGCGCATAAGTAGTACAATATTAAAGATGAACAAATATACATTCTTTTTAAGCATTTTTTCAGACAAAAGTGAAGCGCGTAAAAAAGAAAAAACTTTACATCAAAATAATCAACTCAATGTTAAAGATAAAAGCAAGTAGCAGACTTGAACACTAATACATGCTACCTCTAAATACATTATTTGAGATAGCACAACAAGAATTAAAGACTTCGGCAATGCATTAAATTTAAGTTGTCATACTAATAGCCTAACATTAACATAAAACCTCATTAACGGATACAAATAACCCTGTATTACCTTATAAGATTCTTGTTCCAATCTATCCTTATTAGCAGCAACCCACTCATTGTACTGCTTCAAGAACATCTTATACCGGTCCAACCCCATATCATCAGTTTCCATTTTCACCATCTCCTCCACTTTATCATAGTCCACTCTCACTGACTGCAACTTATGGGCTTCCCTAACAAACTCCAATTCCTTCTTATCAACCTCCCAGCCCCTCGGCGGCCAATCCCTAGGCGGTACATGACGAACCACTAAAGGCCCAGCCCACATAGTACTCAAAGGCTCAGGAATTTCGCCTTTAATCTCAAATTGCTTAGCGTAATACTCATCTTCCGTTATACCCATTTCTGAAATTTTCTTTTTTCGGTAGTTTGGGCTAAGCATTTTAAAAGCTTCAATAGCTTCAGGAGATTGAAGGGCGACTTCTTCACCTTCGTTAAGTGATTTTCGGGCGAAATTAGCTTCAGGTGAGAGGATTTCTTCCCATGGAGCCCAACCACGGTCGACCCAGTTTTTGCGACGAGCTTCTTCTTCTGATTCTTTCTCTTTGGGCCCAAATGCTTCAAGGAATGCGTCGTCATCACCTACTGGGAATTCATCTGAACTGAAACAGTTAAGTGTAAGAGGTCGGGAAGGCTTGGATAAAGAACAGGGGAAGAAAGAAAAAGAATTGAATTTTGAAGATTGGGGTTTAAGGAGGGTTTTAGAAGATGGGAATGTGAAGAACAAAGAAGAGGTTTGAAGAATTTGCATTTTCAGATTGGAATGCCTCCCTCTCCCCTAGATTGCTTCGTTTTTGTATAGATAAAGTTGGTTTGTTCAATTTCTTTTTATTTTCTTTATTACCATATCTTTGCTCCTTCAAGACTTAATTACTGGCATGCATCAATTATGAATACCATAATTTTGTTGAAAATAATGGAGATTAATTGATTTAAGACTACCTTGTCACGTTTTCACATTTTTAAGTTTGAAAAACTGCTTATTTAATTCTTATTTTAAGATAGAAAAAAGAAAGGGGTGATTATTGGATACTGTTACGAGATATCTATTGAAAATGTAAAAATTGCGCGGGCTGCCCTATTTGGTCGCCCTCATTTAATCTATACCTATTTTTTTTTAAAAGTTATTAATTTATACCCACTTTTTAAAAAATTTCAGTCTCCTTTCTCCTCTTCCTTCGTTTTCTTCTTCTTTCTTTTGTTGCTATTGGTACTGCTATGAAACTTAAGTTCATGGGATGATTGTCATAAGTATATTTATCAGCTTATTTAAAAACAAATTATAAATAATTACGTAAGTTAATAGATAATAATTTGTGAATATTTTCACGTACGGGAAGTTTAAGGTCACACTTAGTGATTTTTTTCATGATAATTCTATTCTTTTCACGTTTATTGTTTCCAAATTTATGATTTAGATACTGTTGACAATCTGATTATTTATCTAGTATGTTAGAAAGCTTTTTCAAAAACTTCAGCTTATATAGTGCTGAAGTTTTTACAAATAAACTAAATAACTTCGGCATCTTCTGCTCAAGTTTTTGAAAAAGCTTTATGACAAAACTAATGAATCCAGGACAAAAAAACTTCAGCTTATTTAGTGCTGAAATTTTTATAAATGAACTAAATAACTTCAGTATCTTCTACTGAAGTTTTTGAAAACTAATAAATCCAGGACAAAAAAACTTTAACTTATTTAGTGGTGAAGTTTTTATAAATGAACTAAATAACTTCAGCATCTTCTGCTGAAGTTTTTGTAAACTAATGAATCCAGGAGAAAAAACCTTCAGCAAATAGAGAACAAAACTTCAGCTACTATGCTTAAGTTTAGCAATTACAAACAAAAACTTCAGCAAATAGAGAACAAAACTTCAGCTAATATGCTTAAGTTTAGCAATTACAAACAAAAACTTCAGCACACTTGGTTCAGCAATTTTTGCTGCTTCAGGCCCGTCTACTAGAATGCTGAAGTTTTGCATGATTGTCTTTGCTACTTCAGCCCCGTATGCTGAAGTTACGCGAAAAAGTGGATACGCTTGCAATTATTTTTTGCAAAGTGAACACAAGTTAAAACTTGACCCAAAAAGCGGGTATAAATACAAATACCCCGTTGAAAATTGGTTACAAGAGATCCAATTGGTTCTCTATACATTGCAAATGTGCATTATCATTTTTATCATGTGTTTGGTTAAAAATTTCTTTTCAAGTATAGTAATCCCGAGATTATTTATAGCATTATTTTAATATTATTCTTAATATCGCACCCCACGTGGGAAAATGAGCTAATCCTAATATAAAACAATCATAAGATTGCTAACTAGAATATTATGAAACAGTAAAATTTTTGTAACAGAAAACAAAAACAGAAAATCAGAAGTAAAGCAAAATCTCAAAATAGAATCTGAATTAAATTTTGGAATGAAATCGAGCTCACTGAATGCACAGTTTGTTCTTAAGAAAGTTATTCCCCTCAAATACCCGAGGTGTTGGAAATTAATCAATTAATTATTGACCGAAGCCGAGTCAAGCGACGACGGCATGAGGCTTACCTTATTTCCAACCCAATTAACACCAAGAGAAGTGCTTTTTTAATATAAGCATATTCCATTTTCTTTCCACTATCAAAGCATAAGGGAATAACTCAACTTCCCTTCACATTTCTTCCATCTATTTCTCGTTCACCAACTTCGAATCCCAACAAAGACAACTTAAAAACTCTTCTTCCCAAGTCATTTAAGAAGATCAAGGTTAAAATTTAAAATACAAACATGTACAACATGTAAAGGTTCATGTACTCTGAGATTTTTTTTTTCTTTCTTCTCAAGTACTGCAACGGTTGGGTCTGATTATAGGTATCATCCATCAGTTGATGATATCATTCTGGACTAGTTTCCAGGCATACGCCAACCATACATACCGCTTTCTCGTTCAGGAATTTCTTAAGATTAAGGTTCGAAAGGACCAGGCGGCGATGAAGTATGAGTCTAAAACACTATATGCAGAGCTGCCTTAGCTCAATAGATCAACGAATCAGGAGATGACTTCTTAAACGTTCGCGAATGGAAAAGAGTTGCTTTAGGNGTGTAAAATCAAACACATACTCTATATTTTATCCCCGTATATTCCATTTTTAATTCAATAAACCAAACATCTACCAAAAACGCATATAATATTTATAATTCCGACACAATACTTTTAGTATAACTTGAACCCTTACATTCCTTTGTTGCCTCAACGATATATAAAGGTCAAATCTTTCATGTTACTCTTCGAGATTACATGGTATTCATACTAAAATCAAATAGAAACAAAGATTACGTAGCTTTTCTATTGTTAACTTGTGGAGTACTACAGCAATTTTTGTTCCTCAGATAATTAGAGAAGCTAATGCAGACAGAGAATGTGGTGAATACATAGATATAAAATAAACTAAAGCACGGACTCATTCTCTGACAAATTGATTAATTAACTTTAAGAGATTGTGCAATAATAACAATCCTTTGATGAGGTTATAGGTCACCAATGTAGCTTAAAAGATTTGACAAATAATAAGAGCCTAAATCTCAACCCAACTTCCTTAAGCAGGACTGTCTAACAGTATATAAGATATTAAATATAGTAGTAATACAGCTATGAAACTAAAATAACTAAATATTATTTAATTTAAAACATCGTCTGACAAATACTAAAAATCTTTTGTCACGAGGAAATTTATCTAGTTTTCTATAATCAAGAATAGAACTTGTAGTCCTTGGCTTGCAATATGATTTGCCTCAAGGCACCAATGGGAGCTAAAATCATCAGAAGAACACCAAGTATGATGCATATCTGCATTAAACAAAGTACAATTAGCAATACAATCAAAGCCTATCAATTCTCAATATAGAATTAAATATGCAAGTTTTGTAACATACCCAATTAGTGAACCAAGACAAGCCAAACTTTTTAGGTTTGTAGATTGCAAGCCACATGATACAAGGAAGCTGCAACAACAGTGTAAAGGCATGTCAATGTCTGAGAGATTTGATTTTATCGATCCATCGCAAATGTTATTTTAGTTATATGACATTTTTTATATGAGATCCAGTAAAAATTGAGACGAAGTTAGATAGAGAATTGACTTACGAAGTAAGTGGTCGGAGCAAATGCAAATCCTCCAAAGAAACCCAGTAGCCCACCAAAGAATGGGAATGTTATACCAAGAAACATTGTTAGGGCTGCACAACACAAAATAAGAAAACAATAAGTTATGTCCAAGCTTTAATTTACTGAGCAAATTAATCAACATTTAAATTGTTGAATGCTGTGACATACCAACATAACTAGTCCGAACAATAAACCGTAGCGTTTTAGTTGGAGTGAATTTCCTTTGCTTCACCAAGTAAGATTCCACCATGTCAAACACACCCATTGCAAACACCTACAACATCAAGCAAGTAAAATAACAATTAGTATAGTTTAAGCATGAGATACCATTATATTATGCTAAACTTTTAAAGTGGATTAGACGTCACGAGTTTAAAAACTATACTGGACCAAATATAAGTGTAGAAGAATTATAGAGGGCCGAGCTCATTATTCACCAAAAAAATTCAAACTGTGCCCTGAGCCGTCACCCTCAACCAGAAGTATGGAATTCGAGCCTTACGAGTTACGAATGAAAAAACTTCTGGTAATAAGAACCATTTTTTCTTTTAATGGGCTCTATGTTGTGCGAATACGAATTAGTCGGACCAGTGAGTTTCGAGTATCGAAATATTAAAAAAAATTAAGGGTAACGAAGTAGATTATTGACCTGATAGCTTCCAATAACATGGACAACAACGAAGGCGTTAGCAATGATAATAAGCCAAGCAGGTTTCTCAAGGGAGATCAAGACATTATCCTCAACACTTTTCCCAAAAACTGCATAGCCAGCAAAAGCCACAGGAAAGTAACACAAAGCCACAACAATGTAGGCAAAAATGACTCCTTTCCACATAGGTTTCTTGGCTGGTTTTTCAGGAGAAGAAGGCATAGTTGCCTGAATTTCCAAGACAACATTATGACCAGCAAATGCAAAAGCAACATCTCCTAAAGCACTCAAGAAACCAAATACTCTTCCTGTAGTTGTTGATGCCCTTGGACTGTAATCAACCTCTGGTGATATTCCTTTATGTACTGATGCTCCCCAACCTATGGTTGAATAACTGCACAATTTATACATAACCAGAAAAAAGAACTGTAAGTCAATAGAGAAAAGTTCTTTGAAAAAAAAAAAAGACAACTTATACTATAAACTGAATGTAAACAAAAGGGACCTTTCCACAAATAGCTGGTCGGATCCACTGTTTACTTTTCCTATGCATAATTATACAATGATTGGACATGGTTATACATATACTATACATGAATTATAAATATAGTATTGTACATCTGCCCAGCTATTTTTAGTTTAAATGGTTGGATGTGCGGCTATTTAAATTAATTGTTCTAAACAAAAGTGATACTATTATATTATAACAAGTACTCTATCTTATATTTCAGGTTAATCACTAACTCATTCATTATTATGGACACTTACATGTAATATTCTTTACAACAATCTGGTTGGGTAAACATCTTTTGGTACTAGATTTTCTGTAGGAAAAACTTATAGGAATCAATTATTATTATTCCTTTCCTCTATTGTCAGTGAATAAACGTTAAGCTATTTTTTAAAAAATCTACACTTTCTGTATATTGAAAGTTAAACAAGTAGTGATCTCACTTTTTATGAACAAATACATTAGTTATCCAACCTAATAGTGTAAAGAACTAGGTTATTTTGTATCTTCAGCATATAACAACAACAAACCTAGTGATTTTCCACAAGTGAGGTCTGGATAGTTAGTCGGTGCACTAAGCTCCCGCTATGCGCGGGATCCGGGGAAGGACAATTAATCAGCATATATAAAAAAATAAACCGAAAAGAAAAAGCAAGTAATTAAGTAGAAGAAAAACCTGAGAGACATGATGGCAGCAAGGAAGGAGACAAGAGTGATGGAGTTGAAATTGGGACAATGGGAGAGGAAGAAGTGAATAGAACTAAACATCATGATAAAATAGGTGGTTTTCAATGGTCTACAACTAGGACAAGCTGTATCATATATCTTTTTGATGGATTTGCCACCAGTGACCATATACACTATGTTCACACCAACTTCAACCATTAGCTGCTGAGGAACCACAATCCAAAGACCAAGTTTTTCACCAAATGCATGTTGCCCCAGCTCATGGTATCTGTCAAATCTTTTACCTGGAACCATCTCATGCATCTCTACCATTTGCCATAAGGTGTATAGTGTTATCACCCATGATAATACCATTACTGTTGCTCCAGCACCCCTGTCAAAATATTATATAATATGAAATTAATACTCCACTAACAAAATATTTAGCAATTACGAAGCATCTAGTAATGGCGCATTCTTTTTATGTATTAAGTTAATTATAACTAAACTTTTACGATAAACATTGAGAAGCATTGGAAGATCGCGGGTGCAATTTTGGATTCAACCGAAATTAGCTTTGTATATAGGTGTCACTGCTAATATATCACAATTTTCTAAAAATATATACATATATATATATGGAATTATTGCCAAACTTTTTGGGTGCCGGTGACCCTCTTGGTATAGCATAGGTCCGTCTCTATAAACATCCCTCGATTTTAAAAAGAATGAACCTTTTACTAATATTTGTGGAGTCAAACATGATTTTTTTAATTATATTTTTTGCAAATAGTTTTTTAATACTGTGAATTGTTAAATATTGTGACTTATAGTACCTTCTATGCAATTTCTAAATATGTAAGTTTTACTTGAAACAAACTAAGGGAATCTATGTCCGAATTCATATAGAAAATTAGTCAATTTAACCCTTGTACTTCGAAAAGATTCAAACAAATTAAAACGGGGTGGCGTAATTGATAGCATCACGCATGTTAAACTACACTGATAATAGTAACCCTTGCATGGAAAAGGAACAAGTTAAACTCTCATAATATAAGTTCTATGCTTGTAGCCTTGTAAGATTTATTTTTAATGTATAGATTAGTAACTGCATGCTTGTTTTCCCCACCCATCATAAGAAAGAAGAAATATACTCGTACGTGTTTGTCTATGACTAGACTAAACTTTAAGCCTGGGAATTGGGGTAACGTTTCAATTAATATCATAAGCAATAATCAAAATATAACACAAATTTAAGATCTAGAGCAAGTGAGTTTAGGATGAGTACTATAATATTATTATATGCATATATTTTGAAGAAAATAGATCATAATCTACATGTATAGTTCGTTAAATTATTCATATTCATATAATTTGTCCTAGATCCGCCTCTAGATATATAATTTTGGTATAGTGAAGAGGTAGTAGAGAAACATACCAACCCAACTGAGACATGGCATAAGGGAGGCCAAGAACACCAGCACCAACCATGGCAGTGACATTGTGAAACGCCGAATAATACCACTTTGCATTCCTTGATGATGTGATTGGTAGCCAATCGTTCAGATCCTTATTACTGCTTCCCTCAGATCCTGATCCTCTCTTTTTCTTCTCCTCTCCAGTCATCTTCTCTTAATTTTCTTTGTTTTCTTTTTCTCTGTCTCAATTTTCTGGATATATATTTCCTTCTTAGAGGATTATTTGAGTTGTAATTGTAATGTATACGTAGAGACTGGGGACTGTTGAAAGTGTCTAGAGCGTGATGACCCTCTCCCCTTATATAACAGAGTTTGTTTCCTTTTAAAACTCTATTTGGGATTGTATCATGACCCTTTTGCCTTTCTATTTTATCGTTATAAGGATTAAAGTTTCATATATTATCCAAACTCTGCCGCTTTAATTAATGAAACATCAATATATAATTAACCTGCTCATACTCGGAGTTGGATACTAAATTTAAAATATTTATACCTTATCCCTGCCGCATTATTTTTCCCTAAAAATAGTTGCTTCATGCAAATAATTACGATTATAATTATCTACGCTTTCGATGTATTTTATCTTAACTAAAAAATTTACACATTGGAGGCAAGTAGTAAAAATCCTAACCTACCAATTATACACGCTATTCTTCCCCAAATACCTTATTCGATCAAACGGATAAAATCAGCACAATATTCGCGGGTAGGGTGAAAGTAAAATGACCCCTGTAATTCGTTATTAACATATAGCATTTCAGATTCTTAAGATTCTCCGCAGGGGAGGATTTTGTTCAACTTTTATGGTATCAACAGAATTTCTTGAGTTAAGTTCTACTAATTCAGGAAATTCTGTTGATATGGATTATGGAAGTGAGTTCCCACAAATAATAAATGACCTATATATCCCCAGAATATAGGAAACAGAATACACAACAATCCACGATTGATTCCCTTTATACAAAGATAGGGTGGGAATTCTACTTAATTAACCAGTCCATGCATGCATATATTCACATACAACAACAACGACGACCCAGTATAATCTCACAAGTGAGGTCTGGGGAGGGTAATATGTACGCATATATTCACATAGTGAATGTAATATACTAGAATTTGTAATCGAGATTAAGAAGAAGATAATGAGAAAAAACGGGATTTATTTATTAATCGTAATAGAATTGGGATTACAACAATGTTAATTCTACAATGAAAGCGACATTACTCCATGAGTAACCTGAAAGAAGAAGAAGAGAAGGAGGTTAGAGGTGAGAAAGAGAGTTAGCAAGAGAGAGAAAAATCAGTTGAGAAGTTGTAAGTGAATTTACCAGAAATTGTGTGCCGCTTCACTCTAACTTTTATGTATTAATAAGCTCTTTACTATGCTGCTTGTGGACTGAATTGTAGTTGAGCCTATTCCAATCTGCCTGTAAAAATTGCACGGGGCGTCCTATTTGGAGTTTGGACGCCCCGTTTTAACCTGTAGCCGCTTTGTCTTTCTATTTGCACCCGTACCCGTTTTTTTTGTTAAAAGTCATTTGAAAAGACTATTTTGCCCTTCTTTATTAAAAGACTACTTTCTCTCCAAGTATACACTAGTCCTCTACTGTCTCTGTCTCTCACTCCTGTTATCCGCATTTTTTGATTTGTTCTTCTCTGAAATCAAACGGTTTTCGTTGTTGTTTTGATTTTTCAACTGCTAGTCGTCGTTGTTCCCACATTACGATTTAATCACAGGTACATTGCATTAACTTTCTAGGTTTTATTTTACGATTTAATTTCTGGTTTTGGTTTTGATAGTCATGCATTAGTTTTACTTTTACGATTGTGTTTTTAGGTTTTTTGAATGAGTGTTTATGTTGTTGATGAAAATTCTATATTTATGCTTTTTGAACGAGTATTTAAAAATTTTGAGAGTTAAATATATGATACTATTTAAGAGCTGAAGTATTATTTGTTTTATAATAGTTCAATGATACCTTAGATAAACAGAATTTGTGTTTTGTTTTTTGTCAAAACTACAACATGTTTTTTTGCTGAATGTTTTGTGTTTGTAACTGGTGAAATCCAGCTTAAGGAGCTGAAGTTTTTGTGTTTGTTACTGGAGTTTTTGTTTTATAACTGTCGAACATCAGCTCTAGAGCTGAAGTTTTTGTTTTATAACTGTCGAACTTCAGCCTTTTTAGGTATTGAAGTTTTAACTGATCTTTTTGATAATGTCCTGATGTTATTTTTTGTAACTTTTACTTTTTTTGAACAGATGGCTCCCAAAGCACCTAAAGATCCTAATGCAGCTAAAGTAGGCAAAACACCTAAAGCACATAGACAATCTATAATACCCCCAGGTCCTTATGTCTCTGCTCCTCCACCTACAAGACCAAGGCAAAGATATTTTGAGTTTGGAGATTGGTTTAACTGTAAGGGTTACTGGAAGAGGAACCATGATTTGAAGAAATTAATTGCAACTTTCTTGACTCCTACACAACGGGATAAGCTTACTAATGGTACATTTCAATACATTATGGCTATGGAGAGTTTCCAATGCAGCATGAAGTTGGTTCATTGTTTGTGTCTTTCTTGAATATTCACCAATGATCGAGACTCTATTAGTTTCAAGATTTTGGTCATGATGTTTCCTTCACTCTTGAAGACTTTCACATTATGTGTGGTTTGCGGATCACAACACATAATATTGAAAAACCAATTAATCGAGAGAGCAATATTCTGAAGCGGTATTTTGGTAAGTCCAAGGGTGTGACTTTGAAGGATATTCGAAGTTTTATAACTCGCAATGAAATTCCAAAGAATGTTGTGAATCACGTACATGTATGCGAGAGTGATGATGATGATGTTGTTAAGCTTATAGAAATTCTTGTTGTAGAGTCTATTTTGTTTGGGAAAAATACTGAGTCATGTGTGATGGAGGAGTATGCATCTATTGTTGAAGATGATAAGGTTTGTGCTGAATATTCTTGGGGTAATGTGGCTTATGAGAAGCTCATTTATTCATTGAAATATGCATTGGACAAGCAGAACAAATTACATACAACTGAGTATAAACTTGGTGGATTTCCATATCCGTTATGTGCTTGGTTCTATGAGCGCTTCCCAGATGTTCGGGAGAGGTATATAAGAGAGGATGAGTACCTTGATACCCCTCAGATTCCCAGGATATTACGTTATGTATGTGTGGGAGAGCCTAAATTTGCTGAACTTTATTATATGTTCAGTACTCATGAAGTAAGTTACTTTTTTTGTCTTTGTGTTAATATGTTGATGTATTAGTTTATTTCTCCTCATAATATACTTTTTTGTATTAAACAGAGATATCACGACTTTAGGGTATTGGATATAATTCCTACAGAAGAGGAATTGAATTTAATGCCTTTAATTCGTTCAAAGGTAGTTAATGCAGTTCCGTCAACTGGTGAATCACCGCGTACTCTGAGTCGATCAAAAGAAGCGAATCGAATTCTTGTCATTGGTGAATCACCACGTAGTCGGAGTCGATCAAAAGAACCAAATCGAATTCTTTTTATTGGCGAATCATCTCGTACCCAGAGTCATTCTACTCGTTCTACATCTGACTTTGATGACAATGAATTACTTGAGACAATATGTTCTGTAAGTTTTGATCTGAAGTTTTTTGGTTTTGTTTTTGTAAAAGTACAACATGTTTTTGAGCTGAAGTTTTCTTCTATATCTGAATTTTTGTTGTTTATCTATTCTAGAGGTTAACGACGGAGGTTTAAAGGCATGCAGAAAAAGAAAGAAGCACGATCGTGAACAAAGTTTTCGATAAGTTTAAAAAGGATGAGCGATCTGCTATTGTTGATGCGATTTTTGTAAAAGTGATGGTAAGCTAATTTATAGAGAAGTCTTTTTATTTCTGCTGATGTTATTCAGATTAATCATTGTTAGTAATTTTTTTTCTAGGAATATTTCGATGAGAAGTTTGAACAGTTGTTAAGATTGTCAACAAATCAAATGAAATGGACGATGGCAATTGATTTGAGTAACCATCGAGAATATGATAGGGTGATTGACTGTTACGAACCTCCATCAGATATTAATGCATCAGATAAGGTCGCAAATGTAAATGTTACACGTGAGGAAGCGTCTTTTGAAGGCGATCAACATGTTCAGAAACAAGTTGAAGAGGAACGTTCCAGTGCTGATATATTGAGCAGAGATGTAAATGATGAAGAATAGTTAGCAACTGAGAATGTTGGAAGCAAGCAATGTGCAAATAATCAAGTTAAAGAACATGTTGCTCATGATCCATCGCGTAAAGTCGCAGATGATAATGCTACACGTAAGGAAGCGGCTGGTGAATGTGATGAACATGTTCAACAACAAGGTGCAGATGATCAAGTTGTTGGTACAGAAAAACATGCATCGAGTTGTTCTTTGCAAAGCGATATTGGACAGGGCAATTTGTTTGATGGAGCACTAACTATTTGCAAGGAAATTTTAGGTGGTGATACGCAGGAAATTGTTACTACAGGTATAAAGTGTGAAGTTTAAAATAGTTCATAAAAATATATAACAAAAAAACACAAAACGTGAAACAAAACTTCAGCAAGATTTTTTTTTGTAGCTGTCGAACTTCAGCTCTAGAGCTGAAGTTTTTGTTTTTGTAACTGTCGAACTTCAGCCTTCTTAGAAATTGAAGTTTTAACTGATCTTTTTGATAATGTCCTGTAGTGAAATATTCACTACAAGTATAAATTTTTACTATGTTATATATATACAAAAATTAGTTGATCTACTCCCCCTCTTTATGAACATGCAGTGGAAGTTGAAACTAGTTGTGCTTCAGTTGACACAACTCAAAAAGTCTCTGATGATGCTGAATTAAATGAAGGTAGAGTTGAGAAAAACCTTCTAGATAATACTCCAATGCTCCTCGACGTTGGTGCACAATTGAATGAAGCTGGAATTGCTGATATCGAGAAAGGCATGCAGCATGGGGAAACCACAGCGAAGACAAACGTCAAGGTATTCTATAGATCATGAATTTATTACATTTGATCGAAGTATATTTTTTACAGTTTGAAACTTTACATATTTTATTTTCTTTGTTGTGTTTTTGAATGATTTTTCAGAAAGACTCGAGGCAGCTCAAAAAGAATTTGGTGAGCTTATGCAGCTATATCAAAGTCAGTCATTGACCTTCAGAAGAGAATTGGCTGCCAATCATTGGGCTCATGGAAAGTGGAAAAAAGATAGCGGCTATGAAACTCCAGAAGAACAACAAG